TTTGTAGCTTTTTCTTCATTTGAAACGGTTTCTTCAGTGTCATTATCATTATGTATACTGGACATTTCATTAGAATTATTGTCAAAAAATTTCTTAGCTGTGTTACTATTTATGGGCTTGTTAGACTCATTTTCATGTTGTGAATCAGACATGTCATTATCTGATTCAACATAAGTAGATTTCTTATTTTTTCGATTAAAAATAAATATATTTTCATCTTCTGCATCACTATCTATTATTCTAAATAATCTGTTATGAATATCTTTGTTTTTAAGTTCATTTTTCTGGTCAATCTTTTCGTCTGTACTTTGAATAGTTTTATTAAATATTGTATCTTTGTCATCATTAATACAATTATTCATTTCAAGAGTTTTATTTTCTTCTGTTTCCATATTATTTGTGGATTCTTCAAAAAATTTTGATTCTTTAAATTTATATTGTATATTAGATTCATTATTGTTTACATTATTTACATTAATTAAATCATGACTTTCAGTCATCTTTTTATATACTTAATTTTTGATTTTGTTAAAATAAAATACTGCGTTTTTATTATTTTGGTCAGTTTCTAAGACGTATTACAATTTTACATTTCTAAAATTAATGTTATAAAACAATGTCATTGTTATTAACCGACATTGTTATTAAAAATTATTTTTTTTAAATGCTGTTTAATTGCCAACAATGTTTCACCGGAAGCTTTTTTTCTGACAAATTCTGTTTAATTACACTAAATGAAAACTAAATACGTCACAACACATCACAAAACACATGCGGTAACTGGACCTAGCTATTTTGATGAACAAATTTAGCGCGAAAGCATTAAAGGCCATATTTCATCTTTAACTATCGATAACAGGTGGCAGTAGCTCCGTTTTTCATTTACGATAAATTTTAATTTTAATACCAGAATTTTGGTACATATATAATGTGACGTCCACGTTCTGCGACTCATGTGAACCAGCCATGAGATTCACTCTGTGATTCTCATTCGAATCCACCCTCCTTAGTTTCAATATACCGATATATATTTTCATAGCGAACTAAATGTAGCCATAATCTTAATTTTACTTTATATTTAAATATAGTTGGTACCTATTATAATATAGGATAAGGATATTAGCCTATTATTAAATTGTAATTTGTATTGCAAAGTGACGACGTAGTGTATGTGCATGTAAATTCCCTGAAGAACATAGAAAACTGAAACGTAATTTTTTTGTTCATTGGTCATCCTGTAATTGTTTTTTCGTTATGTGAGATGGTCCACATACGTTTTCCGGGACAGCACCATGTTATTATGTAGCTATAATTAATGGATACATTTCGTTCGCTATGAATATGTTGTGTGTGTGCGCTAAAATTAGGCAGGTGGATTTGCATGGGAATCGCAGAGTGTGGACCTCATGGCTGGTTCACATAAGTCGCAAAGCGTGAACGTCATACTGTTTATAGTATAGGGACTTTTGGTAAATTATTAGATAGTTTCGAAAGAGACATTTAGATACTTTCCATATTGCTGTATATTCTTGGTTGATAATAGTTGGTCGATAGATCAAATTGTTGACGTATTTTTATGACAGTTTGTGAGTACGTCAGAGACGTAATCAGGAGAAGTACTGTAGGTTGTTAACAATTTTATAGCATATTTTGTTCATAACAATAAAGTGTAATTATTATGTGAAGAATCATTGAACAGGTTTTATTTATTTTCAGACATGGTTACGATGGGCGAACCCCTCACTTTAGCAAATGGTAAATTTTTTTACATATATTTATTTAAACAAAAAATATATAAATTTATTGTCTAAAATTGGAGCTGAATTTCAATAAAATAAAAAATTAATGATTTCATTCTTTTTATTTGCAGATGTTAAGAGGTCTATTGAGTTACTAGACAAATTACAAAAAGGTAATAAATTAAATGTATTTTATTCACAGCAATGGATATCAGAGGACAATAGCATGTTATCAAGTATTATCACAAGAAATACACCTTGTTTTTGTGGGTCTTCATAGTGGTCATTTCTTCATAATGTTCTTCCTTTGATTTATTTTCTTATGTAGAACATGTACGTGATTTTACTTCCTACTAAAAGATCATTTAATAATCATAATTCTGATGTTCTTGAGCATACAGGTATATATTTGTATATATTGCCCAAATAATTTGTTCTAGGTGGTGAAGTACCTGCAACAAAATTAGCTGCCTTACAAAAAGTTTTGCAAAGTGACTTCCTTAGTGCTGTACGTGAAGTATATGAACATGTATATGAAACTGTAGACATCCAGGTAGTCCATATTTAAATTTTGAATTATATATTTAAATCCATGCATGTATGTAATAGTTAATGTGACCTCAATGTTAATGATTTCAGGGCTCTCAAGAAGTTCGTGCATCAGCTACAGCAAAAGCAACAGTTGCTGCTTTTGCAGCAAGTGAAGGACATGCACACCCACGAGTGGTGGAATTACCAAAAACTGAAGAAGGTCTTGGTTTCAATGTAATGGGAGGCAAAGAACAAAATTCACCAATTTATATTTCGCGAATTATTCCTGGAGGTGTTGCAGATCGACATGGTGGTTTAAAACGCGGTGATCAGCTTCTTTCAGTTAATGGAGTGGTTAGTCTTTTTCAAGATTTTATAAAATAATATAAATTAGAACTATGTATTTAGTGCATTCTATATCTGCTATGTAACTAAAAGGTTAATTTGATCTTACTACAGCTGAAATTTCTGTTGGTAAAATAGAATGAGTACTGCTTGACACTTAATTGGTTAATTTGTTCCGTTAATTTTATATTTATTTTATAGTGCGTGGAAGGAGAAAACCACGAGAAAGCAGTAGAACTACTGAAACAGGCACTAAATTCTGTGAAACTGGTTGTGCGATATACTCCCCGTGTTCTAGAAGAAATGGAATTGCGATTCGACAAACAAAGAGCAGCACGTAGGCGTCAGCATATGCAATAAAAGCAAAAATTGCCTTCATTACCTCTTTTCAGTGATTCAGCATATATATTAATATCATTTTAATTTTTTTTTCATTATTTGTACATTATAAAGTCACTAAAGTTATAAAACTTGTGAAACTTAAGTTTAATAATACTTTATAACTATTTGCTGCCTTTTATGTTCTAAGAAAATGCTGTGTATGAATGTTACATAGTTATAAGAAATAAAATTAAAAGATAAAATGAGATTTATGTATCTTTCTATTTTTTAAAAGGTACGAATATTTTAGGATACTTGGTGAATATAAACTATGCACACAAGTTTATAGATTTTTTTTATGGATTTCAAAAATTATTGTTCTAAAAAACTAGGAATATAACAATTTGTTATTTAATAATATTCATTTTAATACGATTTTATCTTATCTTTCAATGTTTCCATTTTTCGTTTATATTTTGTTTATTCACGTAATATTTATATATTTTCGTTTATTTATATAATAGTTATATTTCGTTTATATTATTACAACACAATATCCTATGTTATATTCTTAAAAATCCCTAAAAATTTTACAAAAAAATGTAAAACCATTCAAGTTTTATGGCATTTGTGGGAAAACGTGTTCTAATAGTAATATATATATTTCGAATTAATTTTTAATGAACATTTTATTATATTGACAAACGATTTAAGCATTTGATAAAAATGTGTTTCAGTGTATTAAATTCGTTTTCTTAATGGTATTATTATAAATAAAATTTAAGTGGGCGATGTTAAAAATATTCGCAGTGTAAGAGTAATGTAACTTCATATTTTCCCTCCATGAGAGTACAGTACTATGCGTTTATTGGATTTCAGCATTCTTTATAGGTAAATCTTACATGATCTTCTCTTTTGCGTATATCCACTAAATAGACGTAAATTAACACATAATGAGAAAAATTTGCATTCATCAATGCATATTAATTATTTATCGATAATATGTTTATACTGTGGTAATGGAGAAAAAGTAGAGGAAATTCTAAAGCTCAACTGAATGGCATTGATGTATACTCCGTTACATCGATTCTTACCGAAACCTTAGAAACTAACACAAACACACAGCGACTGCGTTATGTAAAATGGCGTGCAATACACACTGACGTATGGAGTACGATGCCATTGACACAGACGCGTCGTTGAGTGTTTGTGTTAGTACCAGGGTTTGGTTAAAAATCGATGACACTCCTTGTCAGTGTACATTTTTATTTATCGAATGAGCCGATCTAAGAAACAAGATACATATATATCATGGTTATTTAAAAGTGGATGGACTTTACACCATTCTTAATTGTGCTTATTCATTGCGAAGGTAGACTTTTGTATAAAAGTTCGAATCGATCAAAAGTTTAAGGTTTCAGTCTACTTTACACAAGTGGATACAATGAGGGGACCAGAGGAATTACGTTTTGATGGCCGAGTAGTTATAGTAACAGGAGCTGGAGCTGGTAATTATTTTTCTTTTTAAATGACTTTATACATAATTTATTGTCTTTAATGTCTCTCTAGGTTTAGGTCGCGCATATGCTTTACTTTTTGGGTCAAGAGGTGCCAGTGTTGTAGTAAATGATTTAGGTGGAGGAAGACATGGGGATGGAAGCAGCACTAAAAGTGCAGATGCAGTTGTCAATGAAATTAAAAAGAATGGTATGATAATACAATTAGAGTTTATTTAAATATCCATGATTAGTTATTTTTAGTTAAATAGATTATGCATATGTATTTATGTTTAACATAGATGTGTTTAATTCTTAAATTAAACAGAAGATTTTCATAATATTCGTTAATGGAATATAAAATTTTTATATCTTTTAGTTCATATTGTCAATGATTGCTGAATTATCTTGTATTTTTGTAAATAACATTTAGAAGTAATCTTATCATTTAAAAATTGTATATTTTAAAGCATTACTGATAAAAGGATTTGATACAAACTTCAGCATACTTTGCACAATTTTTAATAAGAAAATGTTTTATTTGTGTTTTTGTTGTAACATAAAAAAATATATTTCAGATATTTATTTCAAGAAACATATTATTTATAATTTGTATTTATATATATTCCGTGCTATATTTTATGGGAGCCATTCGAAACAATATCCTATTTTATAATTAACAAAATATTATGTAATTAAAATAATTTTTTAGGTGGAAAGGCTGTGGCTAATTATGACTCTGTCCTTGATGGTGCAAAAATTGTCAAAACAGCTATCGATACATTTGGTCGAGTAGATGTAGTTGTTAATAATGCTGGAATTCTAAGAGATAGATCTTTTGCTAAGTTGTCAGAGACAGATTGGGGTATATTAACATCTTATTATTATAGCTATATGGAAACTTTAAAGGTTCAAAATCATTAAATGTTTATGATCTATTTCAGATATGGTACAAAATGTTCATCTAAAAGGTGCTTTTAAAACTACTCAAGCTGCTTGGCCATATTTTGTGAAACAAAATTATGGTAGAGTAATTATGACAGCAAGCAATAGTGGAATGTATGGAAACTTTGGTCAATCTAATTATGGTGCTGCAAAAATGGGTCTTATTGGTTTGACCAATACATTGGCTATTGAAGGCAGAAATAAAAATATATATACTAATGTAATAATACCAACAGCTGCTTCTCGTTTAACAGAAGATATTCTACCACCAGGTACATATAATATTTTATATACATATATGTATTAATTATACTCTGCTACATTTCAATACGTTAATCTTACTTTTTTTTATTTCATAGAATTGTTTCAGCAATTCAAACCTGAATTAATAGCACCTGTAGTTATTTGGATGTGTCATGAGAAGTGTACAGAAAATGGTTCCATTATTGAGTCTGCACTAGGTTGGGCTGGAAAATGTAAGTACAGTGAATAAGATCAATGATATAAAGATGTGTGTATTGTTTTATATTCATTACTAATGTTCTTTCAGCCTATGTAGTTTGTTCATCAGGATCCACATTAAGACAAAATTTTTCAAGTGAAATCACTCCTGAGGATGTTGCAAAAAGATGGTCAGCTATTACTGATATGTCTTCTGTCAAACATTTTACTTCTATTGAGGTATTTAAATTTTCGTCACTTTATACAAAGTTTACTTGTGATAAAATGTTACATTACTCTGTCTTACAGGAAAAAACAGCACAGTTTGTTGTTGCACTTGAAGAAATGAAATCTGGAAAATCAGCATCACAGGTAATTAGGGCAACTAATTATTATAGCTTGACATAAAATATATTGTGCTTATTTATTAATTTTTGTTTCTTAGAACAGTGAGGTTCTCAGACAAACTTATAGCAGTCAAGATACTATACTATATGCATTGGGAGGTATGATTTTTTATGGTAGTAATAGTAATATGTAACTTAATATATTATAACAATTGCAATTATAAAATTAAAATATACATTTTTTCCTTTAGTTGGTGCCTCTGTTCAAACACCGTCTGATATTCGTTATTTATATGAAAATGATAGTAATTTTGCTGTATTACCTACATTCTATACTCTACACGGCCCAGCGCATTGTTTGACTAGCTCTATGTACACAGACAATTTACCAAATTTTGAAATAGATCCAACAAAGGTAATATATTTCGTATACTGTCTTCTAAAATGACGTTTTTACAGATTCATTATAATTTCAGATGTTGCACGGGGAGCAATATATTGAAGTTTACAAACAATTACCAACAGAGGGTACGGTTGAGACACGTTTCATTCTTTTAGATATATTGGATAAGGAAAAGGGTGCCGTATTTGTTGTACAACGTACGTATATATGATGATTTTTGTAAATATTTTGCTTTGTGTAAAATAAAATAGATCCTACATTGGGCTATTTTTATAGATGAAACATTTGATTCCGCCACCGGGGATAAATTGTCCACAGGACAAATGACAATATTTATAATAGGAGCTGGTGGTTTCCAAGGAAAAAAGACATCTTCAAATCTCATACCTATTATCGATCCGCCAAAGCGACAGCCAGATGCATCGGTCACTCAACAGACAAGCTATGATCAGGTAATTAACAGTTGCATACTTTTTGTTTGTTTACTCACTCATGACTAATCCTTTAATTGAAATTGTATTTTTCTGTCTGCAGGCCGCGTTGTACAGATTAAATGGAGATAGAAATCCTCTCCACATAGATTCAAGCATGGCTACAATGAGTGGTTTCAAAAGACCAATTCTACATGGATTATGTTCTCTTGGATTTTCTGTTCGTCATGTTCTTCAAACTTATGCTGATGGTGATCCAAATTTATTTAAAGCTGTCAAGGTAAGTTTATTGATAATTTTTAATAGTCATATGATTCTTTTTTATAAAAAGTTTATTTCTGTGTGTTAAAGTGTTTTAAATACAATGGGTACTCTGTAACATATTGCATTTAATTATTTAAATTGTGTTGCTTACAAATTCCGCGTTAAAGTATATAAATGTTAATAGAAAAAAATGTTTTAAATTAATTTAGTTAATAAATATTGTAGACTCGTTTCGCCAAACCAGTCCTCCCAGGGGAAACATTGCGAACTGACATGTGGCAAGAAGGAAACAGAATACATTTCCAAACATATACTATAGAAAATAACACGCCGGTTTTAACAGGTAAGTTTATGGAAATTATTAATTATATAAATCTCGTACAGAAATTTATAACACAGATCAATTGAAAAAATTAAAGTGCATACTTTTCCTGAATTATAATATCTAAATAATCGAACGTGAGCTATATATTCTCCGATTTCATATGTTCCTATAAAGTTATTAAAATTATTATTTATTAACGATTATACTTCGAATTTTTTGGATGTAGGTGGTTATGTAGATTTAAAAAATACAATATCTAAACAACCAAGAGCAAATCCTCGTTCTGGCAACGAAAATCTTGAAAGTCTTGAAAGCGATGCAGTGTTTAATACAATTGAACAGTATGTGAAAGCAAATCCAGCAGAAGTAAAGAAAATTAACGCTGTATTTCTTTATCACATTTTGGTAAAAGGAAAGCCACAAGCAACATGGAGTAAATATATTTGTTCATATTAGTTAATTTCATATGAACTTTATTTTTAATTCTATTTTATTGTGCTAAAGCTCTAGATTTGAAAAAGCCTGAAGTATATAGAGGAGAACTGAAATCAGGTAAGGCTGACGCAACGTTAACTCTCGAGGATGCGGACATGATTCAAATGGTAAATTATTTTGATATTATTGTAGTATATACCAATTGTGTTTTACATTTTATACATAATATATTTGAATTATTCATTATTTTATTTATAGGCTTTGGGAAAATTAAATCCACAAGTAGCATTTATGCGAGGAAAGCTAAAAATTACCGGAAATATCATGCTCACTCAAAAATTAAAAGTGCTTATGGAAGCTGGTAAATCGAAATTGTAATTTGAATAAAAATTTTAAAACTTTAGGTGTTAGATTATATTTGTTATTATACTGTGATGTATAACTGTTATATTTGGTATTAAATATTTTTATATTTTTCTAAGT